GTCACACAGACACAGTCACACAGACAGTCACACAGACAGTCACAGAGTCACAGACAGTCACACAGACACAGTCACACAGACAGACAGACAGACACAGACACACAGACAGTCAGACAGTCACACAGACACAGTCACACAGACACGGTTACAGAAAACAGACTTGTTATTGGATTAGTTTGACTGCTGAGGCAAAGTTTCTCTCCACTTCTATATTAACAGTTTTTTGATCAAATAATACATTTTAGAACATTTATAAGCAATTACACATTTTCTAGTTAAAGGTTTTTCAAGAAAACTCAGAATCCACTGTTCTCAAATTGTCAAAAGACAATTCATCAAATTACGAAATTACGAAATGAAGTCGTCAGCACTCGCAAACGATGATGCTCAGCAGTAGAAGGAAATGTACGTGTTTCAGCCGTAAGAAACTTATTTTCAAGTGCTGACGACTCTATTTGCTAATTTTGTAGTTTTCGTGTCACAACCATAGACTGTAAATAAAAAGTGGACGTAGTTGTTGTGACGTCACCCGTTGGTTCGTGGACTGCCTCGAGTTCGACATTTTAGTCGTCGGCATCTTGTTTTTTTTTACAACCAGTGAACAGAAGTGATCGTATCTGGACTGAGGAGGAGTGACATCGTTTTCTCATAGACTTCTATAAAACCAGAGGAGTCGCCCCCTGGTGGACACTAGAGAGCATGTTATACTCTTGAGACAATTAGGTTGCACTTGCCAGTTCTCTTGTTTATTTATCAAATTCAGTCTACTTTATAATATATAAAATACTTTTAATAGCAACTATGGGTTGTATTAAAATGTATGTGTTTGAATGGGGTACAGACGTTCTATGTGTTGCAACCACTGCAGCATTTAATGAGCCTTAAACCATTAAATAAGGCGCTTAGATCAGATTAGTCAGTTCCTGTTTCTTTTGAGTCTCAGACGAGTGAGAAAACTGGGCCAAGAAAAACCAAATAAAAGAAACTGATGGTTTTGTTTTTCTGTTTGGGAACTTTATCTCTTCTTTGTTGTTAGTTATTATGAACCATGAGAGCTGTTACAGGTCAGGCTGGCTACCATCTACACTAATGTAACTATTTCACCCTTTGATGAACTGGATACAGGCGGAATCACTGTTTCATTAAAGCACATAGACTCAATGAACATCATAACAGCTGATAGGACCAGACGAAGGCCCACTGAGGCACATTCAGATGCCCAGGATCTGATATCAGTTCAGATTTCTACGTCTCTAAATACATTTCTTGATTCCATACAGAACTGGTAGTTATGGAGTCCAGCCTTTCAAACTACAAATAGCTCACTTTTTAACTGGAGCGCACGTTTGCTGAGCATGCATGTTCTCTGTCAGCGACACCCTGGTTTACATTCACCCTCTGAACTCCATCACCACTAAGTCACAGCACCATGAGCTGAGTGTATCAGGACATTTCAGTGAAAGAAAATTCCTTCAGCCGTAACGTTGAGGAACGTGTCTTGGATGAATTCAGCCAGGTGGTGGTCTGACCTCCCTCTGAGCACAGAGAGTCTCCTGGAAGGACTTCCTCTGTGGTAGAAATCATAACCTACACACACACACACACACACACACACAGAGACATCCCCACCCAGCGCTTCTGACAACTGCCCTTCAAAGGACTGCTTGTTTCTTCTTTGGTGGAATCTGTGGGCAGTTTACCAAAAACAACCACCTCCATGTTCTAACGATGAACACACACACACACACACGCAAGGATACATATTCTAGCTTCATTCTGAGTGACAACACTTACAGTTTAGTTTGGTTAGAGAATAATTATTCACAGCAATGTTTCACTTCCTGTGTCCTTCCTCTTGCTGCAAGTTTGTTTTGTTTTTACAATATTAATTAAACAGTTTGATACCCTGGGTATCAAACTGTTTGATATGAAGTCATTTTTGTCTTAAAATGTGTCCAAAGTAGGTAATACTGCAAAGGACTTGGTCTGAAGGGTTGCTTTGTCCCTCATACGTGTGAGGGAATGTGTTTTAGTGAAAAGGTCTTTAGGGTGAGATGTGCTCATCAATAACTATGAGTTTTATTAAGGTCCAGTTGTCTCATGTAAAACAGAGACAGAAATATGATAATATATTTAATATAATGATATAATACTAAACTATGAGACAGACTGTGTGAGTGTCTGACGTAGAACAGAGCTGCTCAGTGAACGAGGAAGTGCAGCGTCAGGACTGTAGTGGAGAGGTTCTCACTACGTTTTGTCCGTTATTGTAGTAACTTGTTTGTTTTCCGTGGCGGGCGTCTTTCTTTCATGTGTTTTATCTTCGTTTCTTTTCTTTCGTCGTGCACAGAATTCCTGAACTTATTAAGATATGGAGGAATGTGTGCAGGAATGCGGCCTCGTTGTTGAGGGCAGACTATCTGAGATGAGCTGACGGATAAGACGGGCTGCAGATGGACGGCTGAAGACTGATGTCCCGTCTGAAGACAGTTATAGACACAACCTGCCTTTAAGGGACTTAATGCAAAGCACAGAAGCCACTGGGCTAACCTTTAAAGAATACACAATTACATGAAATAAGGATTTTGTGGCGACAGGATTAACATTATTATCACGAAGGGCTTTACCCAAAGTCCTTTTGTTACACTCAAGAGGTTCTATTGAGGTCTTGGAATGAAGTTTCAAATGTCTATCGCCTTCTTTTTACAGCGTCTCACAAAAAAATGGAGAAAAAACGGATTTTGTTTAATTGTGACTATATCAATGTGATTATTGGTGCTGTTAGATTGCTGCTACACCGCCTCCTTCATACAGGAGTTACATCTGCAACTGTGAAGAAATAAACACAATAAATAGACTTCAGTGCTATGAATGAAGCTTTAACTATTCAGTACATGCAAGTCAACATGGCCACAAATATCACACCTTTTAACACACATTTTACTTTTGCCATGTTTGTATTTGTAACGAGGTGTAACGTCTCATTAGGGCTCACAGACTTTACATTCTACTCCAACTAATATCTAAGGGTGCAGAAATAACGTCGCAGGTGGAGGTAGGCTCTGTGGGCGGAGCCAAAGATCAGAACTTTTTGAGAGGTTAACTTCTCTATAAATGCACGGTGAACCTTTCGACCCTCGTGAGGGATAAAGTGCCAAATCACACTTAGGTTGAATATTATAATACATATAAGATCAGTGTTTCTGGCCTCCTCTCAAACAGGAGGTGAACTACTTTATTATCTTTATTATCGACTTATCAAATGAGGATTGTCAGACTGGCTTGTAATAACCTTTAACTGACCTTGTCCCATGCGGCCTCCAGTGAGCGCCTCCTTGGCGCTGCCGAAGCCGAGCTCCCTGCAGACGACGCCGGCCGACTGCAGGTTCCAGCGATCGTCACACACGGTTCCCCACTCGTTGTCCTTCAGCACCTCCACCCGACCCTCGCCCACCCTGGCTCCTCCCTTCAGCCTCACGTTGCTCTAGATAACAAGCAGACACATACAACTCTAGTTTGTTTATGTCCTCTGAGCAGCCTGGAGGGAGGTACCAACAGTCATGTGAGCAGGCTATCAGACGGCCTGCTATTGGCTAATACGTTTTAATAACTGTTTAATGGAGCGATCTCTAAAGATCGGATACAGAAGATGATTTAGACTGCTTCAATTATTAAAAGATATAAATATTTAACTTTCTATATACTGTATATTGATGTATATTTAATGAGTTTTCATATTTCTGTAATGGAGTTAGTCTTATTTTAATTTAGTCTACCTCCATTACTCAAAATTAGAAATATTTCACAAAGAACTTTGTTCTTGTCAAAACAGAAATGAGATCATTCAGGGAAAATAAAATAGCATTTAAATCCAGTCTAATTAATAAAAGAGCGTAACATTTCATGCAGTTATGTCCATTATAGCCGAACTAAATGCATCTACTGAGGAAGACCCTGAGTCTCAGTCCAGAGCTGCTTACAAGGTCCAGATGTAAATATGATGCTCAGCAGAGTAATGAAGCTCTGCTCTGCTTCTACTTCAGCGACAGGCTTTAAATGAAGTAAATAAACTACATAACATGACCTCCTACAGGCCTTTCTTCACACTTTACATGTTGACATGTCGTAGTAGGAAAAGCACGTCTATAACTAACCAGTCATCGATGCTTGAATCCCATTTAGCTGCTGGTTTCAGGGTGATGGTGTTGTCCATGCTAGCTTACCATCATGACTTACTGGGACACTTAAAAAGAGCCGTGACATGTTTCATGAAATGTGAACCACCTGTGCTTCTTCCTACTGTAACAAGTCAACATATCTGCTGAGGAAAAGGACTATTCAACGGTTTAAAGACTACTTTACCGAAGTTTTAAGTTTCTTTTTCATGCCGGCGTTCTGAATGAACAGCGGCCCCGGCATGCAGCTGACGACGGCCGCCATGCCGCCCTCGCAGGTGGACGTGGCGTTGGTCTTGCTGAACTCCAGCGGACAGGCTGCCAGGTGAACCTCCGTGCCCGAACACGCCACCGAGTGAATGTGGAAGAGGTTCTTCTGACGCTCCAAATACAACCTGGAGGGAGCGGAGACAAGGAAACATTAATGTCCCAAAGCCATACCTACAATATACAGTATGTATATCGTAGGTATATATATATATATATATATATATATATATATACTTAGTATGCATGCCCTCTGCTTTGAGAATACTTTAGTTTGTCTCTTTTCTAGTGTGAAGTTTTGACATCATGCTGAGAATCAATAACAAAAAAAGACCAAACAAATGAATGAATCACTGAAAACACAATGTTCCTTATCTACAAAGACAGCATGAAGATATCAGCTTGTATATGCGTTTGTTTCAGGTCATTACAACATGCACAACCATCAGCTCATACTACAGTAAGACCTAACTATCACAGATATCCTCTCTGATTATAAAACATGTTGAACAAAAGGATAAACACAGCAGTAAAGCTACATAATAAGTGAAGCTCATTGTATACGTTGAACTTGCAAAACCAATAATTACAGACACTGTTTGACTTTTTAGTAAATATGCAAAACTACTTTCTTTGCCAGGAGTAACTCGTCTGTTTGACTGAATCTTGGCCCATAAAATCAAATCTGAATCACATTTCTTTATCTCCTATCGTCTCTAAATGTAGAACTTCCTGTAAGTTGCTTTGGATAAAAAGCTAAATAAATGTAATGTAATGAGTGAGAGGAGAAGATTGATATACTATCATGCCTGTACAGTAAATATATTATGCTAAGCTAAGCTAAGCTGGTATCAATCTTCTTATTTAACTTATGGAAACAAAGGGAACAAGCATGTTTCCTTTTCTACAGAAAATGTCTCTTTGTGAATCGTTTGCATAGTTTTAGTGTTTTAATTCTGCACTAAATATTCAAACAGCTAACATTGTTTTCTGTTCTTATGAACACACAACTTTCTGACTTTCTTATCAGTCTGAACGACATGTGTTCGTGTGGTGGAAGCAGCGTGTGTGTGTGTGTGTGTGTCCGGGTCTTTTCAGACAGCTTGAATTCGGTTCATCCTCAGATTACCTTTTGCCAGCGCTGCTCTGTTTAGACTTAGAGCTAGCTTTAGCTTTAGCGTTAGCTTTAGCTTTAGCTTTAGCTTTGGATGTCTGCCTGCAAGGTAAACACGGGTTAGACTGCTCTGTTAGGAGAACATGACGCACAAACACCTGTAGCTACACTGTTCAAAAGGATGTGTCTCCTTCAACATGTTGTTTCTAAGAGTTGTTAATACAGAATATGTAATTCACAGTCTTTTCTTTATACAGTGTGTTATATATAAGGCACACAGGTCTGTTGGAAGTGACACATCTCTTTTAAATGCACGTAAATAAACACAAATATGACAAAGAATGAAGTTAAAATGTGGAGATTCTGCAGTTATTTGGACCTGTTTCATCAACACAGGCTCATATTCACTGCATGGCCAAACGTATGTGGACACCTTTCTACATACTCTTGTATACTTTATGGCTTCTTAGTTCCATTTGATTGAAATCTTACTAATATAACCTCCAATGATGTTTTAACAGCAGTGGACTCGTCCCTGTTTAACAGGACAGGATGTTCCCAGTGTGCTGTGGGAGAAGTCGGAGTGTTTGGTTGTCCGTATACCTTTGACCACATAGAGTACGACACGTAAAGCTGATCATCAACATGTGT